TATATATATATATATATAGCCATTTTATACAAAGAACTTGAGCATTCACAACTGGCTCCAGAATTTTCTCCAGGGATATTGAGGACAACACTCTATTTATAAGTCATGTAAATGCAGCATACTTTTTTACATTTCTGTTCCTTTGCACAGACTATTTCCTTGGCCCAGAAATCCATCCAATTTTTCTTGCTTGACAATCTCCGATCGATCCTCTAGGACTCAGTTTAGGCAGATAACTTTGCAAATATGCAGTACATCCTAAGAAACGTTAAATACTCCCTCTTCTGTAGCCCAGTTACCCTGAGTATCCACTCACAACACATGGCTGTGAGAATCCATGCACCTGCGCCTTGCTGAGCTGTGGACTCTCTCTGGGAAATGCTGAGGCTGAATTAGTGTAAGGCTTCCTAGACCTCTCTCTGCAACTCCATGGGGTACCATTCGGATGACTATGGAATGATGGGTGTGGCAACTCCTGGAGGTATTCAGTGTGGCAACTCTAAGGATAGTATTCTCACTGCCTTACAGAGGACACAGTAGTGAGTAGCACAGGTGTTTTCTAGGCAATACAGTGGCTGAAAGAAGGATCACAATGAATGTGAGGTGGAGCTTAACCATTCGCTGCCCCGAAACCGGTTTGTTTCCTGCTACACATTTTATTGGGGAGCATCTAAATCATACTGTCAACCTAAAGGTAGGCACCAGTATACACATAGTCAGAAAAATCTCTGCTTTATTGTTTCTATGTAACTTCCTGTGCATTTTCTGTAAATATTTTTAAGTGTTAAGTGAATTTTGAAGATTTTCCTCTAGGCCTTTAATAATGGCATAATTAATCTGCAAATGGCATTTCCACCAGAGATGCAAATTAACCACAAGGAAAACCAGATATAAGAAATCTTTCCAAAAGCATGGGCTAAAATGCAAATAAATACAGTCCAAATTTTGTATTTTAATAAGCATGTTCACAGGAATGTTATGATTCTATATTCAGAATAACAATATTCCACAACTTTCAACCACCTGTTCAGCAAGGAGAAATAATTTCACACTGAACTTTAGCAAACATTTAAGATAGCTTTCATTAAAAGTTAAAAAAAAAAGCTGAGGAAGTACATTCTGTTTCCTTGCAAAGAACACAGTTTGTCTTTCCATGGATAGGAAAATGGTCCTAGATATCAAGATCTTGGGTAGAAAATTCTTTTATGAACCTGTCACAAGTTATCAGCTTTTTTTTTTTTTTTTTTCAGAACTGGGGATTGAACTCAGGCCCTTATCAGCTTTAAGAAAGACAGATTGAGGCAGGCTTCAATGGAGAGAAATTCTGTAGTTCTGTTTGTACACTAGTTAGTCTGAATTTCTGTAGTTCACTCATTCTATTTATTAACTAACTCAGAGTGGGAAAAGGGAGTAAAGGGGCAAAAATTACTAGCTCTGAAATTTTTGCTTGAAACTTTCAAAACTGAAAGACACAGCAATGTGACCAAATAATGCTCCCCTAAAGATGCCATGTCTCAAACCTTTGACTATGCTGTATGACATAGCAAGGGGGCAGTAATGTTGTAGGTGCAATTAAGCTGCTAATCACTTGACCCTGAGACACGATTGGGCTTGGTAATGATGAGGATCCTTGAAATGGATGAGGAAGGCAGAAGGTTCAATGGCTCAGTGATGCAATCTGAGAAAGACTCGACCACAAGCGCTGGCTTTGAAGATAGAAAGAGGCTGTGAGAACAAGGAAGGCAGCTGAACAGCAGAACCCAGAAAAGACAAGATTCCTGCTTGGAGCCTCCAGAAACAGGGGAGCCTGGTGAGCATTCTAATTTTATTATAGTGAGACCAACTTTGGGCTTCTGAGCTCTAGACCTGTAAGACAGTATGTTTATGTTAAGCCATTATGTAGCAATAACAAGAAATGAAAGCAGGCAATTTCAGGTGAGATAAGATGTAAATTATTTCTGTAATCTATCAAGCATGTGAATGCTTATCCCTGAAAAGGAGACCAAAGAGCTCCTGCAAACCTACCACAGATTGTCGGTCATTCTCTTCTCTGCCATAACACTTCACATCGAGCAATTTTACAGAAATAGCCTCACGTGCATTCACACTTGACCTTAGCCAAAAGGCTAAGAAGCCATCTCAAATATATTCAGATTGGTGTGCAATTTTGAGGCTTTGTGCATGTAAAATTTGTAATATTTTATAAGGGCCATAAAGACCACAGGAATGTCCAGTTCCTATAAGGAAGACATCTAGGCTGAACTCTAAAACACACATTTATCACAGAACCAAAATACAAGTCTCCCTCACTCTCAGCCTCTCCTTCTCAATCTCTCTTTTTCCTTCTCTCCCTCTCTTCTCTCTCTTTTCCCTAAAAAGAAAATGCTACACCTAAAACTAAAAGCCATTGTCTGTCAGACTACAGCCTCCTTTGGGAAACAAATATGTATTTCAACTAGGTAGAAAGTCACAATAGGAACATTTAAGGATAGAACTCTTTAGAATGGTTTAGAAGATATCAAAATGTCTATATCTCTTGCCAGCAGAATTTGGTTACAGTGAAACACTGGTATAACTCTTTTATTTATGTATTTATGTATTTATTTATTTATAATTTTACAGAAGGGTCTAC